CACACACACACACACACACACACACAGAGCTTTTGTCAAGAATGCATACTTGAATGAATCAGTGTGTTTTAGTAAAACATTTAACCCTGTAACACGTCTCCACCTGCGTGAGGAAAAAACTGTTTACATCATCCCACCGTGCCGGCTGCATCACTCGCTGCATGCTCCGTTGTGCCAGCGTGGCCGGAAGTCGCTGCTGTGCAGATGTTACCATGGCAACCAGTCCTGCCTCCACTTTTAACTGATTTATGTTTTGCTCATTTCCTTTCTCTAACGTTTTGACTTTCGCCCCTCTGCTCTTAAGTCTCACGTCTAGCTCTCGTTTGAAAAACCTCTTGGACATACAGAAGCTGATTCACGCAGAGACGTCATTTATAAAGAGTAACAGGATTTAGAGCACTGGGGCTAAACAGTCGAGCGTCCGGTAGCTCAGATGTAGTTTAAATGTGGGGTTTTTTCTCCCTCATGATTAAGGTTGTCAGTGTGAAGAGATACTTAGTTTGGAACGACAGCTGAACAGATTTGCTAAAGGTCAAGCTGAATGTTGAAACTACAGTCTTGGACTACAAAGATAAAACAGGTTAAAAACAGGACACTAATGGAGCTCAAATGCTAAACTGCAACCGCTGACCACAAGTGGAGAGGAAATTTTAAAGAAGTGAAAAGAGTAACCAAACAAAATTACAAAATGTACCAAAGAGAGGAACAAACAATTGCTACGAGACTGTGCTGTCTACTGTCTGTCACATGACCATCCAAAAGCTATATCCAGCAGACAGGTGTGTGAAACAGAAAGGTACCTACCCATGTGAGTCCATTGTGTTAGCAGCCCATATGTCTGTCCCCAGGATGTCAAAGGATCCCTCTCTGTTGCCATTCTAGATAACACACAAGGGAAAAGAAGAAATAATGTTTTCAGCATGACTACAAAATACTTCTCACCAATCCCATGTCCACATTACTCAACTTGTATGTAACATTTCACAAGCATCCTCCAAATCATTTGCTCCTCCAAAGGTATTCTAGAAAGACTTCATTTGTAGCCTAGACTTTTCTGTGACTTAACTCCATAACCAACCATAACCAGAAGCAAAATACTCAACAAGCAAGGCCTTGTGTAGAGAATGAGCAGCTTCCTGCTTTACATTCCCTCATTGTTAGCAGTGTTTAGAGGCTAAGATTCTGAAGCATTCTGCTGTTGAAACTGAGACCCAGTTGACTACTGTTATATCCCTAACAAAAGGGAAATTGTTTCTCTCAGGATTTTGAGCAGCTAATGTGGCTAACATGACCAATAGCTGTGACTGTATATCAATATGCCAGAACTATGTGAAAAATTTAATCAGAAACTGTGGAAACATGAAATCAGTGATTTGAATGAGTGAATGATTTGGAATCAGTAAAAAAAAGAAAAGAAAAGAAAGGAATCCATGTATGTTAACGTGTTTTCATTAAACGACTTTGTCCTGTGGCACAAACTAAGCCTATCTGGATTTTATGTTAATATTAACCAACAGGACATGAGGAAGCCTCTAAACTTTTCCTCTGCTGAGGTAAACCAAAGCTTTATTGGCTCTTCCTTTGCCCCTGCCTTTTTAATGCTCTATCTCTCTACAAGGTTTCATAATTTGGCTCAGGACCTTTTCAGTCTACCATGATGGAACTGAAAAATTAACTGCTGTGGCAGAGAAACAAATGGTCATGGACATTACATTATCATGTACTGTGTAATGCAGTGATCTCTGTTCAAAGCTCCCCGTGTTCCTGGTCTAATGTTTTGTAGGCATACAACTCACTGAAGGTGGTGTCTACTCTGTAAGTAACTAATGTAACTAATGTCCAGCAAAATGAAGGCATTTTGCTAGACCAGCTGACAAATGAGAGCAAACCTGGCTTCTCAGGAGGGGCCCTTAAAGAGGATAAATTGGAGCATTGAAGCATCTAAATCTGTTCTGACAGCTTGAACGCACAAATGACCATGGTATCAGTGAGTTTTTTTCCACTTTCATCTTGATTAAAGTCATGTTAGGGAGGCACTTTCATAAAGTTAATCCAACTCAAAAGCAGACAAACCCATGTGTTTCTGTACCTTGGCACAACCTTTGTACTGGTTGTTGTGCCCCCTGCTGCCAGATCGTGAGCCAGATCCAGGTCTGGACCCTGAACTGGGCCTGGAACCTGTGCTGCCATTACTGCTGTGTTCCCATTCATCCTGTGGAGTTGAGAGAGTTAACGAAAGAAATTATGGTCTTTGGTTTTGGTTTTCCATTTTTCCTCCTTTTTGCTCATGCTTTGTGTGTATATGTATTAGACCATTGCTCTAGATAGTCAATGTGAAAACCTGCTGAACATGGAAAATGGAAAAAGATTGACCTTTGCTGCTTTCTCATTTTGTTACCATAAATAGTCACATTTCAGCTCTACCCTCCTTTATTTTGTTAGATCATTCTAATCCATGCTGCTAAAAAGTCAACTCTGGAGAGCAACAATACAACAATAAAAAATCACCAAAATCAGCATTGTGAGAACGCACCAGAGCGACACACACAGACTCAGATTTAACAGACTAACTAGCTGGTAACTCACTTAGTATTTTTTTTTAATTACTGGCTCTAGCGTCATAGTGTCCCACCAGTCACTATGAACATGCTTTCAATGTAGAAAGTGTAGATGAATGACTAAAGGTTGGTGTTACAGAGCTCTTTCAATCATACACTGAAGAGCTGACAGAGCCCAGAAAACGGACGAGCATGTACAGAACAGAGAGAAGGAAAACATGTGATTTAATCATTGTGGTGATCCAGTGACCAGAGAGTAAGTCAATATGCAGCTCGAGTAGACTGAAAGGGTGCACTGGATAAAATTAGGACTATTTTCAGATCAGCAACTACCATGTGCAACGGTATACATCTGACCTTGCCTAGGAGATGTGTTACAATGACTAAAGCTTTTGATTATTGTTTTAGGCATCCAAGTTATTTTGGTTGTTAGTGATTTAACATCTTTATATTAACACAACAGCAGCATTACATTATGTTCAGCATAATGGTAAGGCAATCGACTGATAGGAGGCTACCTGTCTGCAAGCAGCTGCAGTCTGAATTGGACTGAGTGCAATCAGACTTAGAGAGACTGTTAAAGGTCTGCAAATAATCTGGTTTTTCAAATGCAGACAGATGTGTTGCCATCAGTCTGAATAAGTCATTGTCAATGAGCACAACTTAAGGATACTCAACTCAACTGTTAACCAGCTGGTTGCTGAATACAATTGTAATAGGTAAATGTGAATTTCTGTCTAGGTAAACAGAAACAGATATGAGATTTTTTTTTTACAATTTATCACTGTTGATTGTTATATTATCAGAAACAGATTGCGTGTAATTGCCAACTTGACCCCATTCAATCACTCGTATCAGACTGTTAGCAAACTGATTCCATCTTATAGCAACAGTTATAGCACATGCTAGCGACAGTGTCGATATGCTCATTTTCCAGCAAACAAAAAAATTGAAGTGAGGCAACTTATCTCATCTTACTGGATAAAACAGATGTTGACAAAGTGTAATGTCATTTGCGGTGGACAAAACATGACAAGTCCCACTATATGTTATTGCAATGGTCAGCATCTTGCAAAATGTTAAAAATTGCAATAATATTGTATTGTGAGTCATATATTGTGATAATTTCATATCACAGGGTATCTGGTGATCCCCAACTCTATTTAGCAAAGACAGAGCTGTGAACAGACAAACACTCACTGGCTTAGATGTGCCTCGTCCTTGTGATGATGTCCAGCTACCATCTTTCTTATCATTGCAGTCATCTGTCCACTGAAGAAGAGAGAAAACAAAGTAGATAGGTTAACAATTACGGCATATTTAAAGTCTTATTAAAGCATATTCAAATTTACTTTGAAGTTCTGCTTTTATAACAGACTCAAAATTATGTTTCTGACCAAATCTTAAAGCCTGGTGTATAGTTTCTGTAGCAGCCAATAAACTAGGTCAAGGCAGCTGAAGCAGCTAAAGGTGAACTACAATGTAAGTTCAACACTGCCATGCTTTCTTTGCATTACGGTTCTGTCACACTACAATAAAAATAGGGACAGCTACTAATTAACCAATAATCTGTGGTTGTCCAGTGATTGGCCGTACATTGGTTGATCAAATGGCACATGCACAGGTCACCCTGGTGGAAAGCAAGGCTTGCAAATAATTGACTAATTGAATATATCTAATTCATAAATGCAGACGGATTGTATATAATGGCAGTATATATATATATATATATATATATAGTATATAAGAGCAAGACTACTGAGCTTCTATGTCATGTTGTAGTTAAATCACCGTCCTGAATCAGTCAAGTCACTATTTGAAGTTGAACTTCTAAATTTCTGTTTCAAATGTCTGAGATTAGATGTGTTATTTTACTTTTCTTCAGTGCAAAAGCGGCCAATCAGAGACAGTATTAGATGATACCGATCTATAAAGAACCTAAATCATTAAATGCCAAATCACTGTTCATACAAATAAAAATGAGAGTGATCCTGCAGAAAACTGTGAATAAACATATTTCTTCATCAGAGAATCTATATGGCACATAGAGCATACCAAAAATGTAAGAGCCTGTGAGAACGTGGCTCTCACACAGTCATTTGTCAACTGAAACTCAGAACATAACCTGCTCCGGGCCATATTATGTGTTTGGCATTAGTTACCATGGTAATCTAACTAGGTAAAAAGACAGCTACCTTCATAACAATGAACGCTCTGACATTAACCTCAAAATACCACCCTAACCCAATAATCTATCTTCGTGGTACATCTCTGACGAATGCCCTTCCACTTTCTCTCTATTTACACAGTATTCATTACAACACTAATGGCAGCTGACACAGAGAGAAACCTTCCAGTCTTTTTTGGGAAGATAAAAAAAATCCACAGACACCACCAAGGCCTGGAATAATCAAATACAGTACTGCTTATGTGATATAGCTCTGACCTGGGGTACCTTGCAGCTACTGTCCAAGTCCAAGTCTCCATCTGCCTTGTCTCCCAGAAGCCCTTGCACTTGATATTCCAGCACATAGCTGTCGATAAAGCGCTCCAGCTCTTCTATCTCCTGCGAGCGTGTGCTCCCAGCCTCGGACGACGCAGACGCCACCGAAGAGCTCTCCATGGCAACGGGTGCAGTGATGGGTGGAAGGGGAGGAAGGGGAGGGAGGGAGAAAGGAAAGTGACCTGTGGGGAAAGGAAGTTTAAGAAATGGACAAGAGTAAGTGAAGCTCAACTTTTTGCAGTCATTATATAGTCATTATAAGAAACGTTTCAATATCGAGACACTGACTGTCAAAGAGGTGCGTGGACATCAGTCCAACAACCCAATACAGACAAACTGTTGAGTCACTTGATCAAATATATCCCTGGGAGATTTACCTAAAATAATCACTGCTTGCAGCTCAGGAACAGCTAAACACATTTTTCTTACCTTTTCCACCTCAACTCCCTGACATTTGAAGAAGGTACACAGCCTCCCTGCTGTCAGCAAACACACATACACGCACTGCCTGCTTCCAACAAACTGTCCAACACACAAGACAGAAAACTTGTGTTCAGGTGGAGCTACAGCAAACCCAGGCAGGCACTCAGCTTATCAATCCAACTTTTGAAAAGTTGCTCCACAAACCCTGTTGGCTGTCACCATTCACACACCTCTCAATGTCAGTTTGTTTTCCCACCTTTACCTCGCCGTCTCTCTCCCTCTGTCTCCTGTCAGTGTTTTTGTGTGATCACCTGACCCCCGGCCAACAGGGAAGCAGCTTCCTGGCTGTCTGTCTATTGCTACTAAGCTCCTTTACATCACGGCTTGATCACCAGCCATGCAAAGAGGATTTATGGCTGGAGCAAGCAGAATGGTATCTGCTGAGCCCTTGGGACTCGCTGGGGAGTCCTGTGCATTTGCAGCCAACAAGTCAGCTACAGAAAGTCTAAAGGCTTTGTTTTGGCTATGATGCAACAGCGCTGCCTAATGCCAGAGTAATGGGGAGTGGTATTTCCTAAACATATTCTGCAATCTCTTTTTCCAAGATCAAATTTGATTTTACTAATTTCTGCACTGCATGAAGGGCAATGTTTTTCAAACAGACGTACAACAAAGGCAGGATCATTTCTAAGTTAAGCTAGCATAACAACAACTCAAAAATTTAGAACAGTCAGAAAATAACATCAACATCCTCCACTAGAAGATCAGACCTCAGGTTCTGAACTGTTGTTGAGAGACAGTAACCTGAATCTCCACAAACACTAGCAGGTCAACATGTTATACATCTGACTCACAGTCAGCACTGTAATCCATACGTGTCAATAATATAATCCAGCATACATTAATGCCAGGGCTTTGATTAGCCTGGTGATTTGCAATTAGTAGGTTACAGAAGTATGCACACTCAAACCAAGTGTGTGCTCAGCAACACGGGACCTGCAAGTTTATTAATGCATGCACACATGTACAAGTATAAGCATCCCCTGGCACACCCATGCATATATCTACATATATGTTTGCATGCTTTCACATTTTTTCCAATCTCCGTATAGATGCAGTGATTCACTGCTTGTTACCTCTGCCAAGGTAACTCTGTTTTCACTACTGCTTTCTGGTTTGTCTTTTTGTCTGTTAGCAGGATTATGCACAAGTTGACAGGATGCTTTTTATGAGTGTAGGAAGAGAGGTGTGGCATATGGAAAGCAAGAACCTTTTAAACAATGGTGTCTGCCTTGCCAGCAGTGCAGTACAACTAAAGGGTTTAAAAAGGGGTCCATTTTGGTGCCTTTAACTTTTAAACCATATGTCTGAGTAAAATTAGTTTGCTTTAATCAAGCATAGTTCTTCCTTAATTCATTTTTAGCGATACTGGATTTTATGTCACTTGCTGCAATTATTGCCAATCATAATCACTGAGAAAGCTGCCTAACAGGATGTAGGGTCACAGCTATCGCAGTCATGCTTGGTACATGGACTTGAGACCCCATTTTAAGGAAGGACAAACAATTCTGTGGCTTTGACCAATGGAGGGCTTTTTTCTAGTAGTTCAATCCAGCTTTGGAAATATATTGTGACATTTATGATGAGATTGTTTGCAAACTTGCACACCATAAAAGGGTGCACTGTTGGCTTTAGTAAAGTTCTACAGAGGTTTACAAGTTTTCCCTGCGCTGTCCCTTTTTGTTGCCATTGCTGACTCAAGAGACATTTGTTATCTTCATGATATTTGGTGTATTTTAAGACTGAAACTAACAGTTTTCATACTCATATGCTGCCCAAAAAGGCGAAAAATTTATCTGACAATCCAATCAATCCAAGTTGTGCGCCTCGCTATGTCCTCAGCCAAACCGGTAACAACCTGCTACTTTTGGATACTCCCTGTTGGTTGCCACAGCGGGTATCTCTGCATATCTGACCTGGCAGATTTTTATGCCAGACGCCCTTACTCATGCAACCCCAAAGGGATTTGTGTCTCCCACTGGTCTACCAGCAACCTTTCATGTGTCATGTGTTAATCGAATGTGTAAACCACTATTTTACATGGACCCACTGTAAACGAACCATGGACAGTGCAAACTCACTTCAGACATTAAAAATTAATGGTAAATTAACTTATAGATAATAAACTTATATAAGAGACGCCTAATCAAAGTCTGGGCTTAAATCCGATAATGGCATGACCTTAAACAGGCCATTCATGCTTGAAAACCCAGCAGTGTGAGCGAATTAAAACTATTCTGCAAAGAAGAGTGGACCGTGTAAAGATTGTCTGACATAAACAAGTCTGTGGCGCAAAAAAGATTGGGGACCGCTGGTTTAGGGCACACACAAAGCGAGGAAGATTTGGATATCTTCTCTCTCTTGATTAAAAAAAATCATAATTGGAAAATTGCATTTAGTATTTTTTTTCACTTATCTTTGTCTAATATTAAAATTTGTTCATCTGAAACATGTAAAAATTACAAAAGAAATCAAAACTTTTTTTTTACAGCACTGCGTTTATTCACTCGAGCTCTGAAGTTAAAAATATTGAGTTACAATACTTTTAACACAGTTTGAATAAGTTGAGCCGCAATCAATAATAGTGTGAATGCAACAGTATGTTGATAGATGCATATTGATAGTGGCTACAATCCAGTCAGATGTCCTACTGTTGTCCTTGATATGTAGTGTGGGATTACTGCCTAAGGGTAAACAGCTGCAAGCAATTATTGACCCTTTGATTGATGCAAAATACACGTAGCTTCTGGGTTTTTTTTGCCTTGCTATCTATGACAATTTCAGTGCTATTACGGCCTTTATGTGCTTTCTGTAGGGGATGGGCGAATCACCAGGTCCATCTCAATGGCATTAACTTCAGGATATAAAGCTTGTTCTGCATATCACAGGAGTGAGGCATCTGTGGAATTGGATGCAAGTCTACCCAGCAGTGTTTTGCAACACAGCACTCTAAATCTGCAGTTCTGATTTCTTTCATGGCTACATTGACTCAAAATCAATTTTTTCTCATGAGGGAAAAATAAGTGTTTAGTCATAAAATACAATCACGTATAACAGTAAAAAAAAAAAAAAGCCAAACTATTATTGTACTTATAGGCTGCAGAAAAAGGGAAAAGGATATGAGATTAAAGCAAGGACCTGCTCTTCACAAAGAAAAGGATACTACTGTATTTGGTGTATATGTGAGGAATAACAAATAAAGAAGCTCTGCAGGCTGGTGGCCCATCTTAGAGCTTTGACTAAACAGAGGAACTGACTCAAGGTCAGGGACACAAATAGCATTGCAAGGCAGCTCAGATTCACCAAACACAGGTCTCATCTTCCCCATACACGCTAAGATCAATCAGCGATATGAGCTCTCAAATAACAAAAAGATGCAGACAATGATGAAATCATTGTGAAGTCCTGCTTGCATTTTAACTTACTAGTAATGATTGTCCAGCCTTTCTATCTACACTCACATGAAATGAGAAGATTTCTGACATTTAAATAAGCTGCATTTTGCATCCACGCCTATCCTGACTCCTATGATACACGCATACTTTACAAGCATCTTCAACTTGGCAGTAGAGAAGATCCGTACAGCTACAGGGTGGGCACTAATGTCTATTTTTAACACAACATCCAATGTGACTTTTTCCTTACGTCATTCTTGTATCCTGACCTGTTTGTCTGAAATATTTAATGTATGAATTTTTGGACAATGACATAATTTTTGTACTTTTTTCACAGGGGATTTTGGACCAAACAATCAAGATGTGATTGAAGTGCAGACTTTTAGCTTTAATTCGAGGAGATTTACAAAAATAGCGTGTTGACTGTTTAGCCATTGAACAATTGACTGACAAGCAGTTTCATGGCCATGGTAGTTTCATACCTTTTCAATAGAACTCCCAATGAACGTCTAAAAAAATGTTGAAGCGAGTGAAAAAAAGCAAACTAAACCCATCAGAGAGATTGCAAAAACGTAGCCAAATCAACAATGTGGTAAATTGCCTGAGAAAGGGAAGACACAGGCCAGCTTAGCAAAACCAATAGGCCTGAAAGGCTACAGAAGGTAATTACAGCAGATGATTGAAGGATTCTTTCCTTGCCTAAGAAAAACAACTTCTCAGCTTCTTGCCAAGTCAAGAATGCTCTAAAATAGATAGATGTATCACTGTCACAGATGCAAAAATGTAAAAACAGAGGATTTGCAACAAGGTGCAAACCACTGGTTACACTCAAGAACAGGAAGGACACATTACATTTTGCCAGAAAACATCTAAAAGAGCTATGACCTTTCTGATAAAAGAAATTCTTTGTATAGATGAAACCAAAGTTGACCTGTAAAAGAATGATGGGAAGAGAAAAGTATCGAACAAGACAGAAACAGCTCATGAGTCACTGATTTGCAACAATGTCTTCCCCTCCTGGTGCAGGGAATTTGGTTAGATAAAAACTCAACACACTAGTTGTTGTCAACCCCAGGGTTCACCGGGCGAAGCTTTAAAACTTTGCTGTTGTGAAATACTGTCAACTATTTGTTTAAATTACTTACTATAGCTATTCTAAAATAGATAAGAACTACACTACGAAAATTTTAGACTGCATTCCAAAAAAGCATGTGCATCGACTAGCAGGGTCATATGACCTGGACCAAGATAAGTAGTATAAAATGGTTGGCAGACAAACATGCATAAGCATTCGAGGTGCATAT